CTTGTGCTTTAAATAAACTCTTATGCTGAATACCACCTATGATTATTAGAAGTGTACCTTTTGCTTTTTCTTGTCATTGATTTTCTACTCAAGACAGTTTTGGTATTCCATTGGTTTCGCAGTAGTAAATTTTTGTTCTTTTTTCCCAGATCTGGAAAGTAGGCACTACTATTTCTACTGAGATGCAAATTCAAAATTTTATCTTACAATTTTTTGTGTTACAGTAAATAACAGAATACAGATGGTTCATGTAAATAATCCAAACATTTGTAAACTCCTATGAAGTTACACTTGAAACTGTAAGACTGGTATATGCATGTGCAATACAAAATAATAGCCCACCTCATAGATAGAGACAGTATTAGTGAGGGAATCAAAGGTGCTTTTATGTTTGTTTTCTACTCTTTAAGTTTACATTCATTCTGATTCATTTCCCATAGCTTTGGCCATTGGTCAACACCACTCAGTTCTAGAATTTACACATTTTATGTATTATTATATATATATCTATTATGTATACATTATAATATATATTACATATTTTTAAGATGTGCTTCTGTCAGTTTGACTGCTGATGCAGTGGGTGTCTGCTGGATTAGTTCGAGTAACTAACGAACTGCTTGTCACTGCTTTCAAATCATATTTTCACAGATTAATTGACTTTGACAGATGTCACCTTACTATTAATTTGAGCACATGCCAGATTTAGCTTACAAATTGTCCCAATTTGCATATAGGCTGCAGTCAAGAAGATCTATTTCTGAACACATTTCTTAAATGTATGACTTTTGCATTCTTTCTAATTTCAATAATTGAAATTCAATTTTTGCAACATGGTATTTATTGATAATGATTCATAACAAATTTGCATAAGGAACTTGTCATGATCGGTATTATTCTGGAATTCAGTGAGTTGCCATTTCAGAACTTACTTGATATACCTTGACAAGATGAAGACCCAGGTTATGTTATTTCAGTGCTAAAATTAACAAGTGTTTGGTTGGTATCATGTATTTCTTTTAAGACTTTTGAATTTGATAGTATCATTGCTGGGAGGTATTTTTGGTTTTATATTAGCAATGAGAATCAAAAAGTCTCTCTGAAATGAAAAACTTTCTGGTAACTGGAGAACTGTGAAAGAGTGAAATTATAAGTGAGGATAAAAACAAGGAGAATAAACATTGAGCATTTACATAGGTGTGAATTTTATTTAGACTGTTCTTTTTGAGAAGTCTGCATTAAATTTCAGCATATAACCAAGACCAGAAAAGGAAGCCCTTAAAAAAATTAATTTTCAAATGCTTTCCATTAAGAGATGCAGCTTTTCTTTCATGCATGCATCTGGAAGAATGCTTGTCCAAGTACCCTTCTGGTACTTTCACAAAGATAACTTGAGGTGTGCTGTGCATTGCCAGTGGCAGAGTGATCTGGCCTGGATCATCCCTTTGTGTCTTTCCGGCAACACTATGTGACTTGATCAGGGAGGCAATTTTGCAAGACATGAAATGCCAGGAGTGAGTGTGAGGAGCTACCAAGCCTTGAGGGTAGTTGTGACCTCCCAGCTCACATGCTGTGCAGATCCAACCCTGCAGAAATCTTCAGGAAAAATCAGGAAGTATAAGGAACATGACATTCTTGATGACTTTAAGGCTACATAAATGAGCAGACTCACTGCAAACCACTGGGGTCTCTTGTGCAAGTCAGTAATGAACAATTTCAAATATTAGATGCTTAATTTTATTAACTACTTTAGGAGTATTAATTTTTAATTTTTATAAGAATGTTATATTTCTGTATAGAAATTTTGATTGCACTCAACAGTGATAAGTATTTTCAGGCACATGGATCTTTGGAACATGAACTGTGAATAACTTGGCTGTATATAGAATAAAATATATATAGTACTTGTTTCTATATGTAACAACAACTTATTGATCAGTGATTTGTTGACAGTTGGTAGATCTATGACCTTAAGAGAAATTTTAGCATTTCTACACCATAATGGAGGTATACATAAAAATTTATTACAGGTTATTGAGGTTATTGAACACCTTCAGTGGAAAAGAAAATGAAACAAATATTCTGAAATTTATTTGAATATTTTTTTAAAAAATCAAGTCAGTTACCCAATTTTGCTATTGAATTGTTAATTATTACTGTATCAGACTGGCTGGCAACAGAATATCAAGCTTTCATCAAAATATGTGTAATCATGAAATTTAGTTACATTTTCAGGAGAATTCCAAAATATAATGACAAAGTACACATTTTTCAAATTCATAAGGAAAAATGTTCTGTATAGGTTTATGTGTTGATCTAATGAACAATACTGTAGATTAAATCTCAGGAAGGATAGTGGCTTCTATTAATCCACAGTGCTTTTCTTCAGCATGTAAAGTATAAATGACTTCTAAAAATAATTGTTGTGACTTGCATTCTTTATTGCATCTTTGATTGTTGCTACTATGTCTAAAAATGTTATCATTTCCTAAATTATATGGATTAAATCAGTATCGGGGAAATAAGAAATATAGCCTGTCTCAACAGATAGTGCCCTAATGCTTTTGGTTTATGTATTTGACTGCATGTCTGCACCTTCACTGCATGTGACCATTTCTTGTTTCTGCTCATTCTATCAAATTCACATCCATGATTCCAAATTTTGTGAAGAACAAGGACGCTGGAGTCTTGCATTCCAAAACAGGACAGTGTAGACCACCTAAGTGCTAAACCTGGAGCAGCACAGAGGTATCCTTATTTGCTCAAATCAGTTCCAAGTAAATGAGGCTTTGGTTGTAGTATATTCTTCATGTGCTCTGCCCAATACTTTCACATCTGTAGTTTTTTTTCTCCTTTTATGTGTAAGTACTTATATGCATGTATTGTTCGTAGATAATATTTAAATCCCTGTAACATATATTTAAGAGGTAACTTTGAGTATGACACGAGTGTTCTTATGCCCAGTGCACTCTTTGTATGTTGTATGTGGGCATGAAAGGACACCTGCCTGTTAAAGATGTACCTACCAGTGCCCAGAGTGTGCCCAAGCTGAGCCAGGACTGTGAGTGCTGCAACAGGCTGTTGAGCTGTATGGAATTGTACACAGGCAGCATGATCTTAGCAAGAGGAATTAAACAGAAAGGAAACAGCAATTTTAAACGTCTTTCTAATGTGTGCTGATCACAAGGACAGCACAGAGAGAAGAGAAATAAGTATATTCAGCTCACTAGTGCTAGATATGACTGTCACTTTTCACAGGAGAGCATGTCCTACTCTCAGCTTTTCCATCCTACAAAGAGCAGCCACTATGTGGTCTTCTTAGCCATTGCACATACTGTGACAATCTAAGCAACTGACATAAAGAGGAAAAAAGCCCCATAACAAACCAAACAGAAACTGAAGAGCAAAACATCATTTGAGTGATAATGCTACTGTGTTCAGTGGATCTAACCATAACTTTACATACATTGCTAACCTTAAGATTTTAAGGAAAGCTGCTGCATTTAATATGTGTTTCCCTGCATATCACCTTGTATTTCTCCTGGTAAAGAAAAACATTTTAAAGTAATGAGAATATTAAAAAAATAAATAGAAAATAGTTTGAGGACAAAGAGGATTTTAGTTTTTAATCCAAGATACTATTTTTTTATAAGAAAATACAGTATTTTAAAACCCAGAGAGCATCGGATAATGAGCTCTGCAGATGCAAAACCATTTAGTGTTTTGCTGCAGTATTTTCTCTGTTGTGGAGGATGCTGCATCACAATATAATGCTCATCAAATACTGCAGTGGGTACAAATAGTGAAAATCCACTGTGATTATATTCTTTGGGTATAATTTGATGTTGCAGCTGTTTAGGTATATTCCAATTCAGACACTGGATTACTCTTTATAACTACAAAGATTCAAAATGAAAAAACAATTTTTGAAAAATACTGGGTTTATCTATTTGTCTTGCCCACAGTAATTCTTTTAAAGCTTAATATATTATATTTTTTATACCATCACAAGTTCCTATGCATATGTCTTGCACGAGTGTAAGATACAGGTCAGAGTGTGTCAACATTTCTGATTTATCAATGAATAATCATCACTCCCTGGTTTTGACCACTCCTGAAATACTGTGTGTACCCTTTATTCTATAAAACTAATATATGCTGACGGTTATCAGAGATTTAAAATTGTAAATGCTCACATACTATGGATAGTAATGAATTTTTGGAACACACAACACTTGCAGAGATTTTCCTAGGCTATTTATAGTCTTGGGTCATAATAAAAAACATGCTTTAGCTTCATATTACTTTTATTAATTATATTACTGTTCATTATTCTTATTTTCTATCGGTGTAAATTATTAGATTGTCAGAGGTAATTAATGCCTCACTATCCAAATGCAGATGAATTCTAAAAAAGGTTTATGTGGGGAAGGAGTGAAGTAAACTTCCAACATATATGTATTGAGTAGAAAACAGCAGGATTGTTTTAAAATGTTTTTCAAAAGCTTTAACAAGATTTAATACAGTGAGATTTTTGAGATGCCAAGTTTTTATTTAAAAGCAATTTTAAATGTTTAAATAGTATTTTCTGCTCCTTTCTGCAGCATTTTTTTTCTGTTGTCTGCTCTGCATTTCTTTTTCAAATGTGTGTTGATGTGAGTGTCAAGAGAACTAAAAGGCCTCTGAGGAGGCATTGTTTCTAATTACATACAGCCTATGAAGCAGGAGCTACTTGCACTGTTCAGTCAGGATTAAAATTATCTCTTCTGGTTTAGTACCTCATAACTTTCATACCATCAACCTCAGTCAAACCTTATCAGGGCCATCATGTGTCTTAAACCTTGAGTCACCAACCTGTTCATGAAGATGCTTGTTACTTTTTCAGCTGTCAGCCATTTCTGTTATTAGTTTTACAAGACATTAATAAATATATATAACCTCCATTTTTTTGTATTCTTTTTCTTTTTTGTTTATTTCTTTTCTGACATGTCATTTCACAGGCAGTCCAGAAAAGTGGAAAGATATAGCAGCCAAAAACAAACTAGGAAAGGCTCCACAACTGAAACAGAAAGGTAGGATTGCTGATAAATGAGTAAACATCTCTTACAATCAATCTGATCCCAGCGTTTGGAATATACCTCTAAATATGACTTTTGAAGTAGAAAATCCATGACAGTACCAAAAGCTATGTTGTTGTAATTTACAGTATTACTTACTTTTTATCTGTTGTTAGCATTGCTTGCTGTGTTGCATACATAGGGATTTTTTTTCTGGTGTTCCCCATAATTGCAGATAAACTCAATGGTAAAGACTTGCAGTCCATGTGTTTTTTCAGTAAAAAACTGAGACCTATTGCCAGTATCTTAATCTCTGTAAAATATAATTCAGAAATGTGTAGCTTATTCATTAGCAGGGGACTAACTGAAATAGTTATTTAGCTGAAATAAGAGCAGTGAGGAGGATGAGATCCTGCCTTTGTCAGAAACAGATTTATGTTATCTTGATTAGCAGAGGAGCAATGCACATCTGTTTACGTTGTGAGGGTTGAAAAACTTCCATGAGCAACACAGAAACATAAGGTGCATCTTCAATGAAAATGCACCTTATGTAGAAAAACTTGAGGTTTTAAAACTAGAGGTTTTAATTTATTTTACTGCTTCAAATCCCGGATTATTGTTCCTGATCCAAAAGCAATGGTTATATTTTCCTTGGTTTCAATGATTCTATTGCCACAACAGCCCGGCTGCTTTTTAAATTTAGACCAGAGAAATTTAAACCAAGGACAGTTTTGCCATTGAGATCACTAAAACCATTTTTCTACCATTTTTTTCTAACTTTTGAGGACTGAGGTCCCCAGGGGCTCACGTTCTTGATACCATTCAGACTGTATGATTAGAAAGCTCGGCATGAAACTGAGAAGGAAGGTAAGGTAGGAAAAAGATATTAAATAAATGGGAGGGGAAAAAATGGGAGCATAAATGTAACTAGAAAGTAAGACAACAGAAAGGATAAGGAAGGAAATAAAATATAGGAGATTCTTATTTGCAAAAGGGCAAAGGGAGTGAGAGACAACGGCAGAATACCAAAGGAAATCCCACAACACTTGCAATTGGACAAATAAGTGTATCTGTCTGTGTTTACATTTCAAACCTGGTATTTCAGTCTCTGAATGTCTTCCTTCTGCAGATGTTAAGATCACTATATAGATCAAAAACATATACCTCAGTCAATCCTGTTTACTCAAATTAATGTTTTACACTAATCTCAATAAATGGAAGGTTTAAATCTTAATCTTGAAATACTTAGAATTTCAGACATTGCAAGTGATATATGAAACTGATTGAAAAGGACCGTGTTTATGAGGAGTTATGCTGAATATAAAAATAGCAGATGGGCTCCACCACTGAGGATATGCATGTAGTTAAATTTATGAAAAAGACACATTGTTGATGCTTGGGAAATATGTTTCTCTACTTCAAAGCCTCAGGTCTGAAATGTTGAGAATTTTTTTTCCTGGACATTTCAAAACTTTTTTTTTTTTTCTCCATAAAGTACAAGTAAGGATTTAATATATATTAGATATGAGAAATATTGCTACAGTGTCTATTTACAGAATTTATATGGGATTTAATGGATTGGAATTTGAACTTCAGTAATTTCTGTGCCAAGATAAATTTGGCACTGATATAGTAATGACTGTAGTCACCACCTAGTGATAGTGTTTGGGAGGGAGAGTGTTGTTAATTTGGGGATTTTTTTGAGTTTTCTGTGTTTTTTGGTTTTTAAAGCAGTGTGAAATCACTTTTCACAGGTTATTAGGAATGCTAAGAATACGAAAAAAATCTGTTCTATTTTTATCCCCAAAGTTAAGCAAAGTTACTAGAAGTCTGAGTTCCCATAGCTACATGTTTACTTTCTGGGAGAGAAAAGCCAGCTCTGATTTCTGATGAGCTTAAGAGCGACGAACTGAATGCAACAAGAGAAAAGGGAAACATTAGTTGTGCTGCTTCTTTTTATGTCTCCATGGTACATGGTGTACGTTTATGTTTCCATAAAATGATTCACTGCTACCAACTGTGAGACACAAATGTCTAAATAAATCTGAGTTCTGTAGCTTTATATTTTCATAGATACAATGTTGCACCAGTGCCAGAAAGTTTTGATAGTAGGACGGATGATTAACTTTCTTGTCAAATGTCAAGTATAACTCAAGACTATTTCTTCCTGAGATATCCATTTCTGTCTTAGATTTGGTCTTTATTTTGCAATTTGCAGATCTTCTCTACTATTATGTAAGCAGATTACTGGAGTAAGATATCAGCATGCTGTCAGCTTCTCTATAAAGCTTTTCAATATGCTATGCAATATTAAGTTCTCAATGCAATGTGATAGCTTAGGAAATGTACATAAAAGGGAAGGAGCAAACCTTTTCAGGGTACTTAACAGACCCTAACAGTTCTTTTAATAATTTGATGAGAAAAGCCTTCAATGTGAAATACAGCAAACTCTTCTGAAGGAGTAAAACTGGTCACGTGAAAACCAAACATTTTCTGTGCTTGTGTGAGTGATCAAAACTGTGGTAAAAACTGGTTTATCCCAATCTTAAATTTCAGCCCTAACTGGTCACCCTAGAAATTCCAGATTTGAGATTACCTCTTCTATATGTTATGATAATATTACTTAGAACTCTGTACCAGGAGTGCGCTGGACTGGTGATGATGCTCTCTTGTTCTTAGTTCTCTTTCTAGTTCCATAAGTGCTAGTATGTTTTATTTAGTATGTGCCACTGAGGCATCAGTCTGAAGAGAAAGGAATTTGAGTTTTCTCTGTACAGGTAGAGCTAGAACATGTAGGATTCTCCTGTTGATTGTCACCAATTGAATTAATAGGTTTGCTTCTTTCAGTGTTACCTGCTTCTGTGAAGAACCAGGAGATAAGATACACTTATACACTTCTTGTAGTCTCATTACCAGGTGTCCCAAATTTCTCCCCTCTCCATAGTAACCTCATTTCTGTCTTGTTCCCTCACTCATACGCAGGCTTTTGTGTCCTTGATAATTTTTCTTTGTCTCATTCTACTGATCAGCCTTTTGCAGACTACGTCCTTTCAACAACTGATCCTTCTTCTAGGCCAGCAAGTCCTTACCTCCATTTTAGTTTTTCTCCAGTTCCCTTTTACCTCTATTATTCATTTGCACCCCAAGTAGCACATTTGTCTCAATGTAATAACCAGTTTAGGCCTAACTTGTCTTCATTCCACTCTGGTGGAAGGGAACAGGTCTGTGAAAAGGGTATTTCTGGAGGAGTAGGACATAAGTTTCTGAGTCTCAGGTGAAGTGTCTGTTCTGTAATGGCAGGACAGACTCCTCCTACTGCTTCACTGGGCTCTTAGATAAATTCTGGGATATTAACCTTTAAAATGAGAAGAATCAGAACTGATGACTTTGTTAGATTTGGGCATTTATTCATAGCAAAAGCAAGGAAGCACTTTCTGGCACAGAGTAGTATTTATATTGACCTTATGGATGTTGTGACGTTTAAACATCTGATAAAACAGATACTTAAAAGCTGATTGCATGCAATAGTTGGCATGGATTATTTTTACAGTCAGCATGGAGAAACAGGCATTCTTAGAACTCAGCTCCTCTTTGTTACTGTAAGCATCTCTTAGAATCAGTGGAACTGTTCTCTGCAAGAATGTTAACTGTTATCACCAGGGCAAACTAGGAGTTAAGCTAAAGAAGAGTAAAAGGAAGCAAATATAGCAAGGACAACAGAATCCTGTTTTTGTTACATTGTGACTGGACTTCCACATTAAACTATTAATGATTAAATGGCTTTGAAACCAAACTTGTTAGTTATCCTTGGTAGGTAGCCTTAGTATATAACCTCATATATACTTTTTTAGGACAACATTTCAATGTATGATAGTCACAGGAACTAACCAGTCCCTTGGTTACTTTTACTGTATCTAGTGTGAAAGTTGTGCTGGGTGGGTGAAGGGAGACTTTAAATGTCTACAGAAATTTAAGAAAGCAAACCAAAACAAGCAAAACAACAAACCAAGAACCCCAAAATGAAATGAAGTCACAGGAAGCTGAAATTTCTGAAATAACAGCAGATGCAGTGGGACCATTTACAAAATGCTGCACTGTTGGGAAACCAAGGAAGAGTAAAAAGGCACAGTTAGAATACTTTGTCACTCTCCGAAGTTGAAATATTTCAGGTTTTCTTATACTTGCAGTGTATGCAATTATTAAAATACTAATAATTATGCCTTATTATACTAACATTATTGATCAATATCGATCAGTATTGATCATTAACATGCATATGTTAATTGTCTTTTCATTAGAGTTCCATCAGAACAGTATTTCTGTTTTAGGGCAGCAGGAAGAGACTTAAACAGATTCCTTATTTCAGACTCCTAAGCAAACCAAGGTATATGTGTTTACATATAGTCCTTTTTAGGGCACTATTTGAAATCCAGTTAATATTTTTAATAAATATAAAAGGTATGTTTTAGAAACAGAAATGCTTTGGGGTAAAGCTAGGTGTTCAGAGCCTATCCTGTGCTTGTACTTATGTCATACATATTGTTAGCTTGTGTTTGCTGTGTTTAAGATGCAGCTAAAGTTTTTGGCCAACTGTCCTCTATGTGCCATGGGGTTCAGCA